ATACATTATACGAAGTACAGTACTCGCCGTTTGAAATCGAAAATTCACGCGAATAACGCGAATCCTCGTTAATTTCGTGAATTCGTTATAACTCGGGTCAGAGTGAAGTATTCCAGAAACGGAAAACACCGTTGAACTCAGCTCTTCAAGCGCTACAAGATGGTGCTAAAATATTTTCAGAAAGCTTGATTTCGGAATGCGCCATGCACTCGATTTCATCTCAAAAAGTAGTTGCTCGCATGTGATGTGTATACGTAATATATCCGCTTATGCTCAGGGTTAAACCGCTAAGCCACAAGGAAGACGAGCCCTCAGAACTTACCCCAGCAGGCCGCACTGTACGCCTAAACTTTTCCTTACTTTATTTTAAAATCACAATCCCTAACATTGTTAGGCATCTAGCATGCAATGTTATTTTCCGAATTCTTAGATCTTCATTTCGTTTTCAAGCGCTTACTAGCTTTACGTGTTCCCTCTGCTCTCAATATCCCATCCTCTGTATATCAAGTGGAATCTTTGAACAGTTCTCAGCAGGCATAGTGGGCCTATTATGTGACATTTTCCATTTTCAGAGGACATGTTTTGCAGAAAGCTGTGAAGATAGCGAACAATTTCCTTCACTGTCGTAGACTACGGTCACTTGTCTGTAAGGATTATATGGAAACCTTGGTCGCAGGTGTAAGCGTTTCCTTCCGTGGTGTGGCCCCAAACATGCTCTCCTTCGTCAATCCCTTGCTGGAACCTGTCAGAATTTTTGCATTCAAGCTATGAGACTCGCAGATACCTAGAATATGTAGCCCCGTTAGCAGTCTACCGTGCGAAATGCTGGGCATAATCGCACATGATATGCATTGCTTCTCCCAGTTGAAACTTTGGTTTTTCACCGTTTTCAGCCTTCCCCTATTGCCGGATTGGGCACTATCCCACGATTACTGCCCCAAAATCTCAAAGTTTCATTTTTCGTCGAAACTTTGTCTATTGGGGTAATTCGATGCCCTGATTACGAATATGACATTCATTTTTGATGCTGGTGTCATTTGGCGCCATTTGGCGCCGTTTGGCGCCAATTTGGCGCCACGGCTGTTTTCACCAAATCTGCTGAAACTTCGTCATTTGGGGTTATTTGGGGTCCTGATTACGAAAACGACACCCGTTTTTAGCGCTGGCGCCATTTGGCGCCGTTTGGCGCCAATTTGGCGCCACAGCTGTTTTCACCAAATCTGCTGAAACTTCGTCATTTGGGGTTATTTGGGACCTGAGCGTAGCCGGCAACTGCGACATCGATGACGAAAACCAGGTACTACTGTTCATGCGAAAGGATCCTTTATTTGAAAAACGTGTACTTTCCTGAGCTCGATGGTTGTCGCATGCACCTATTTTCTTTTGTTTTTATGGACTGTGTACGTCTGCACTCGCTTGGGATCGTCGAAGGCAAGACGTTCAACTTGACTGCGAGCCTCATCATGACAGATAGCTACAGCGGCTGCCGTACTACATTCCTCACAGTGACTAAGCTGCTGAAAGAGCGCTTACATCGAAATATGCTAGCTCTGCCGAAACGCATACAGCGGCATCTCCCAGTTGAAACAGCGGAAATATGATTCGGCGGCCTTAGCTCAGCAATTTTTTCCACCGGCTCTGGTCCTTCCGGTCATTGGAGGAGTCTCCGATTCGAGATGACCTTTTCCACGGTCTGACAGTCGGCGCTCTGAGAAAGGTGCCTAAGAGTACGCTCTGACTGTGAAGTGTTGTTTGTGACACCACATGGCGCCGGCGTCAAGACTGAATGTTATATTCGTGATGAGGACGCCAAATAACCCCTATACACACGTTTTCAGCGGATTTGGTGGAAACAGCCGTGGCGCCAAACAGGCGCGCAAACGGCGCCAAATGGCGCCAGCGCTGAAAACGGGCGTCGTTTTCGTAATCAGGACCCCAAATAACCCAAATGACGAAGTTTCAGCCACGTAATAAGCTTCGGTAAAGACAGCCGTGGCGCCAAATTGGCGCCAAACGGCGCCAAATGGCGCCAGCGCTGAACGGTGCGTCGGTTTCGCAATCAGGCGACCTCAATAACCTAAAGCGACCGCAATGTTTTCAGCAAGATTTGGTTAGAATAACAGTTATGTGGCCCGCCCAAGATTGCGCGACAGCATTCAAACCATAGAATACGAATATTCGTAATCAGGGCATCGAATTACCCCAATAGACAAAGTTTCGACGAAAAATGAAACTTTGAGATTTTGGGGCAGTAATCGTGGGGTGATCCGGCAATAGGGGAAGGCTGAAAACGGTGAAAAACCAAAGTTTCAACTGGGGAAGTAATGCATATCATTCGATAGCATTTTCACACGGGGAAGCTAACGGGGCACATTTCAGGTCTGCGAGTTCATCTGGAAATGCAAAAAATCTGAACATTCCAGGGCAATGACGAGGAGGCATGTTTGGGGCCACAACCACGGAAGGAACGCTTACTTGCGACCGAGTTTTCCACATAATTCCTACAAGACAAGTGACCATAGTCCTACGACAGTGAAGGAAATTCTTCGCTTCCTTTACAGCTTTCTACAAAACATTCCTCTAAAAATGGGACTTGTCACGTAATAGGGGGCAAAGGCATGACAAGGGGTGATGTTTGGGGTCACACCACGGAAGAAACGCTCACCTGCGACCAAGTTTCCATATAATCCTTACAGACAAGTGACCGTAGTCTACGACAGTGAAGGAAATTGTTCGCTATCTTCACAGCTTTCTGCAAAACATGTCCTCTGAAAATGGAAAATGTCACATAATAGGCCCACTATGCCTGCTGAGAACTGTTCAAAGATTCCACTTGATATACAGAGGATGGGCAATAGCTTGAAGAAGCAGAGGGAACACGTTAAAGCTAAACGTAAGCGCTTGGCCAAACGAAGTGAAGCATCTATAGACTTCGCGAAAATAACATTCATCTTACTCCTCACACTGTAAGTGGAGTGAGATGAGTACGGTAGGACCGCATATGCGGTGGTAAGTTTTGGAGAGCCCTTCTTTTGTGATGTGCGGATTAACCGCAGTAAGCGGAGATTTTGTATACACATCATCATAGGCACGCCAACTACTTTTTGAAGTCATGCAATCGCTGCCATGGCGCATTCACGAAATCTGAGCTTTATCTCGAAATTTTTTAGCTACATTTCTTGTACGCGCTTGAAGCAGCCTGCAGATAGGGTCAAGGTGTTTTCGTTTCTGATATCACTACTGACCGGGTTATGAACGAATTCACAAATATAAACGAGGATTTGCGTTATTACGTTCGATGAATTTTCGATGTTCAAACGGCGAGTTGTACAACTAGAAAGAAGTCAAGACCTTCGATAATCGCCAGTCAATGAAATCTATAGAGTATTTAAAAGCAAATATAAAATTAATAAAGAAACACGTCATGAACTGTTGAAACAATTTTACAACGCCTATCACCAAAAAATCAAACCACTGCTAACAACACACAAATTGAAGTCCTCTGGTGAAAGGCTTCCAGGTAACATTATCAAAAAATATCAGAAAGATTTCATAGTTTGCCCGCTGGATTAAAGCCCAAGCAAATAACTACGGTGATCTATGCGAAAAAATAGTCCATAGAAACATCCTGAAGAATGGATAGAGATATGAATATATGCAGAAGAAAATGAAGATCACTTAACACAACAATACTTATGAACGGAACGATAATATTGAAAACACACACACATACTAACCAAACTTTTTTGTATCAGACACAATTTGAAAGTGTTTACTGATATGAAGCTTCCCACAATCTACGCTCTACCAAAATTACATAAAGATCCCACAAAGTTTTAGTCATACGGGTGCACACACAGTAGAGTCAGACTCTTGCACTAGAAGTTGCAAGTGATATTAGATTTCTCAAAAAACATTTTATTAGATACATCACAGTAGTACAAAACAGAAATAAAACTATGAAAGCATTTTGGGCAATCAATAACATAAACATTAGTCAAGAATTGAATGAACTAAAATTTCCTAACTTAAAAATTTACACAGCAGATTTTAAAGATATGTTCACAAACTTAGAACATAGCCTTATAATCAAAAACATTCAACGTCCTTCTAAAAATATGCTTTAAGAATGCTGATAAGCCCTTTATAGCAACAAATGGATATCATGTCTTCTACTTTTGATTAGTGAATAACAAACACAACATTAGATGCATACTATAGAACATGACCGGCCTGATTGACCAAAAAACTTTACATAAACGAATTTGGCTAGTGACTATTTAGACCTTAGTATTAGTATAAAAAATGATCAAATCCTTACCAACTTGTATAATAAAACAGATGATTTTAATTTCAAAGTTCTTAGATTTCCACATTCTCAAACTAATATCTCTCTTCAGAATAAAGCTTCAGTGATTTATACCGAAGCTCTAAGAATTGCCAACGTTTCGCTCTACAATTACAATGTTTACACAACAAAATAAAGGACCTAATCAGAACAATGATAAATAACGGCTACTCAAAGAACTTTATAATTGCTAACATTATCAAAAGTATTTAATAAAACACGATCTCATTGGTATATAATCTTGCATTAATAAATAAATATACAATAACATTAGTAAATCCTGGTCCATCGAGAATGCTTAAATAACCTTGGTCCCGATAAGCACTGACCTTTAATTACATATCATTCTCCTCCTCTGCACCCCTACCTCTTATAACTCATTGGATTCCTTCTTAGCCTTATCCTCCTACAAGAGGCTAACCTGCTCCAACACTGATAACGCTTTCGTGACTAATACCGTATCTACTACAGTATCCAATACTGAGTATTTTACCGTACACCTACATTTAAATGCACACCATTTACCTAATTTTTCAATTTGCAAACCTTACGTCTTTCTTTAAGGCCAGATTTCACAGTTAAACTGATGAGGTAATTCTACTCAAATAGTGATGTTATAGGGAGTGGACCGCCAGTGGAAGAAAAGAGGAAAAAAACGTGAAATACACAGGAAATACGAGCCTTTTGCTCTACGTTGCGGCGAAGTTCAAAAGGCCGGCAGGGAGATGAGAGATAATGTGAGCGCGGAGAGCGGTAGAGAAATCCGAGAAGAGAGAGCATAGCAGATCAGCATTGCGACGCGGACAAAATATCGAGCGGTGGGCGGAGCGTGTCGCGGCAGGAGGAGCGTGTCAAAGTCCTTGGCCCCTAGCGCTTAGTGACGCATTTCGATGCGGGGTTTTGGCGAGTCGCTTACAGTTGTGTCCCATGCGCTTCTAGCCACTTTAAGGGCTCATTAGGTGGGTCTGAGCCCGAACTTTGCCTTTAAACCATGTCTACTAACGTTTTAGTCTACTGTTTTCACATATTTCTCATAACATCTGCTGACATAGTATAGACATCACAATGCATTCATTCCCAATCACTGAAGAGCCTCAGGGAATGAAGGTTACAATGGTTCGTATGATTAAGAGGCGAAACGAACCATTTTCTTATCATTAACATTTCTTCAGTCTCACATTTCGTATTTCTCCTTCCTTTTCTCATTCGACATCTTTCTTACATAGAATCGTACTGCATCGCCGATGTAAGATGCCTGATATCGGATGTTCACTTATTTTATACTTTTACTATGCAGTCCCAAAGTCTTTGGCCATTTGTCAATTTTTTTCCACTTTTCTTCTTTAGCCCAGTCAGCAATTTACAGTCATATGCCCCATCGTAATCGTCAACATATTGCCTTTCAGCAGGTGACTTGTGGATGCCGTTTGCCTAGAAGTCCTGAGCTTTCAAGGCAAAAACTGGAAGAAGTCCGTTTTCGAGTAGTCCGGAACATGAAGCTCTCCCTCTTTTAGTTGAATCAGCAGCAACAGAAGCAGACGGCATTCGTTGGGGTTTTTTCGGCATTTCCAGACTTTTGCTGGACCTTCTTCAAAATTCCTTGACGATCGCTACCTGGATGAAGTGATCTTTGTAATGTTTTCTAAGCATAGTGCAGAGATCCCATCTGCTTGCCCACATTATTGAACTACAACAGCAGTGAAGTTCATTGGTAGGAGCTCTCGGCAAACGTATCGCTTGCAGCTTCACCAACACCAGAAGGCCCTCGTCACTCAGGGTAACAAGCCGACCGACTTTGGGTTTTTTCTCGAGTTTCTGGACATCGGCAACCAAATGTTTGCCATGTCGTGAAAGACTCTGGAGTCCATCGCAAGACGTAGGGCTCTTGCCGCATCGCTTCCACTGACGCGTTTTCTGGGTTTTAGAATCAAGAGTAGCCAAATATGCTTTCAGTCAAAGTCGATTTTCTCAGCCATAATCGCTGCGAAATACCACGGCAGAAATGCTCTGAAGAGATCGACTAGGGTTTACATACGTTTTACAATGGATGTTCAAAAATTATCCCTGGAGATTTCACAACATACACATGGAAATGGGCAAAGACTTTTGGGACAACCTAATACTTAAGAAGTACGGTTCATAGCCTACCGCCTCATAGAAGCAAATTCTACATACGCGTCTGCGCGTATTTACAAATTCTTTGTACATGTTTCGCACTTCGGATGCGCTCACTTTTCCCCTTTCCATCATAACACAAATGATTATGAGCCATGCATCCTTAGCCCTAGTTCGACGACAGGAGTTGTATTCAGGACGATCACCACAAAGGCGGCAGATGGGAATTTTTTCTGTGCGAAACACTATTTTTACAGTAGCGCTGGAAAAAGTTTAGCGGAGCGCTTTTTCAGCCGTAACTTCTTCTTTCCGAAATGACTTGACTACGCATACAATCTATCTCATGCCAAGCACGATGATACACAATCTGTTTATCTGTTGATTGCATTCCATTAGACAATTATTCATATTACATATCACATCCATATCTTACATTCACACAGTCCATTATCCCTGTGACTGTTTAAATGCTAACACCTTTGTAGTTCGGGTTGCAGTTTGATGTGGATTAGGTGAGTATCCATCGTACGTTTGTGCGAACGATTCATATTTATCTCCACCACCACACCTTAGACGCCGAATGTAAGTATGTACCGACCTTCAACATGTTTAGTCGCATAGCGGCTTCACAGACCTCGGCAGATTCGCACGTCACCATTGTTAAACTACAACAAAGCGAGCCTCGTGTAAGTTAGTACACCAAGACTAATTCTCCCTTGACCTACAACCAAATTTTCGAACTACAAAACTGTACGAAATCTTTCAGAAGTGGATTCAAAGCGCAGACATGCCCATGGTAGTTTGTCCCTTTGGACGAGGAAGGAACTGAGACCAACAGTTCTAGCGAGTTTGTGTGGATAGGTGAGACCAGCGTAGAGAGCCACTGCTCCTCCCATTGAAAAATCTCCTAGTGGGATTTCCTACGATGGAATGCCAGTCGCCATCTATAAAAAACAAAGAGCTGGTCACGTCATTATTCTGAAATAGGAAAAGATAGAAGAGGAGGTCAAACGGCCTTTACAATTTTTAGACTAGAGAGCAAAGCTGAAGCAGCTGAATAAAAAGTAAAAACATCAGCAAAACGTGGTGTAGAAATATGTGAAGACTTTTCAGTGTTAAAATCAAATCCGCTACGAATGAGCGTGAATGGTTAGAAACTAAAAACTCAAAAAACTACCTCTGCATCGATCATCCCATGAACAATTCGTGTAGCCTGGCCTATTCCATCTGAATCCTCGCGGGCGCTAGCGCCTAATCCAAAGAAATCGAACCAAGCTGGCGTTCTCATTCCCATATTCAGTGTCACTGTTCGTGCATGCACTGCAATATCAGCACAGAGTGAGTTGCCTGCTCAGTAGTAATTAAAAAACACTCCAGCGATGTCATATTGCCAGTGAGCAAAATGGAGAAACATAAAAAGATTAGGAACCTTCCCACCTACTAGGACAAATATACTCGTATCGTCATTGTCGGATTTCGTGGCGAACACATCACCCAACACGCCCAGATGCACTTATTGAATCCCCAGTCCGTACGGAAAAACCCAAGAAATACTCCAACCAAACACAAGTATAGATAAAATACCTTTTTCTAGTCCTGACTTTTTCAACAAACATCCGCTTTGGTGTTTGGCTCGAAAATTTCCCGAACAATCCATTCATTGACGATCACCATATTAGTACACTACGATGCATAAAGTGAAGAATTTCCGCTATTTTTTCACTCAAAACACAAATATGGGAGGGGACCCTTATTCTACAGTGAACAAAATGCGGCAAATTTCCACAAAAAACTGGTCGCCACAAAAACTCGGTTACTGTCCATGTTCCCCATTCTTCCTCGTAGACAATGCTATAAAAGTCGATGGCATAGAGAATTATCTGACATTCTAAGACTACTGCTTTGACTGGAACCCTACCTTTCGACCTTTGAGAACAAAATTTTAAATGAAGAGCCAAACAGCTGAAAAACAATCTTGCTACTATAAAACATTAGAGATCCCTTTTATAAAAAAACCCTGATCTATTTGGTCATTTTTCTAGAGAAGTGATTCAAGGCGCACACATATGGATTTTTCGCCTCAAAGCTTGCCATAATGTCGCACACGCGTAGCTTTCCCACACCAAAGAAAAATTAAAAGGCTGTGAGTACAAAAAATTGATGCTGATCAATTATAAAAGCAGAGGTGCGAATCATTTCATTTTAGTGTTATCCTATTGGCATTGAAATCGTCAGCTCAAACAACATTCGACGACTACACTTCCCAGAATTCCTTAGAATCAATGGGATGCTCGAATAGATAAAATAGAATACCAATAAAGATGAATAGTGTAACGATAAAATCGTTGCACGATTCTAGGAACGACGCCAAGTAGAATTTTGGTTGACCTTACCAAGAACTGAAGAGTTCCCCATGGCGAACTTTTGTGAAGTTTTAATGGCGGGAATTTAAAATTTCATGCATTAACTAGTTATTATAATTATTATCAAAACCAACGCTTATGTTCCGTTCTTTTTGCTATCTTCATGAAGCAAGGGGCCTAAGGTATCGTTTTTGTGGAATGGAGGCGCTTTTTCCGTGGAAGATTCCTTTAAGTGCGCAAAGGGATAATTAAGTAGGAATCAAATAGATCAACAACCAAACCCAACGATTTTGCCTTGCGACAATTTTAAGAAGAACCTTGCAAGGAGCGCGGTAGGCAAGATCAGCGCTACGTTTGCCCCAGTCTTTGCTACTGATCGGGCACTGAGCTATTGGCTCAATAGCATCGGCAAAGGCGATAGGAGCTGCAAAGTTCGACCTCATCACGGACCCCCAATCACTTTCGATGAGGACCCTTGCGCTACGAATAGGAAGTGCATCCGGACGCTATTAGCAGGAAACTGTAGCAAACATCTGGGCGCAGCCTACGCTCCATGAGTCGACACCTGAATGGAATGGCTGTAGCAGAATGAAGCCTCGATGGAAACAGCATGCATCGACTGACCATGACCGAGAAGCACGCCTGACCATCTGCAGAAGTTTCATTCTGCGACCGTATAGACAAGACATTCCCTAGTTGGTCACCAGTGCAGATGAGTCATGAGTCCCCTACGATAACAACACGCGGCTCGCCCGGTGGCTACCTCGCAGCCTGGACGCAGCACATCAACCAAAACCCGAGCTGTTTCATCAGAGGTGTGACCCCGTTTTGTTGGATTCGCTGGGTATCCCGTTTTGAGAACCATTTCACTTTATGCAGACAAGCATTGCGAAGGTAACCATGGAATAGCTTCCAAAGTTAGCCGCAGCAGTGAGGGAGGACGGTTGGAAAAGTCTCAAAATCTCCTTTATCACGGAGGACCGCCCAAAATCATCATTGCAAAGAATAACTCGCCACGGTTCTGGACAAAATGGATCTGGAACTACGTGTTCGCTACACTACATGCTTCGTTTAGCCCCTTAAGTTACGCGCATGTACTGACCACCATCATCCATGCAGCAACCATCCGAAAGCAGCAGCTAAACCAAAACAAAACGTCAGCAGACTAAGACCACCTCGCGCAATTGCGGGAGGGGGGCGGAAGGGGGAGGACGCGCGGGCCCCAGAACACGACTCTCTCGACTTTCGTCTCAGAGCTCTCTCGTTCGAGAGCAATGCAATCCCCACTCGTTCCCGTATAACTGGTGGCATAGATGATACCACCGTGTTCATTTTTGGATCAACATCTCTTTCTGTTAGGCAAGATAAGAACTTGAAAAAGATGCAGGGGAGAGGCGCGCCAGAAATTATGGGTCAACCCAATATGTTCTCATTATATATGCACAAGCCAAGTTGCTGGAAGACGTTAAGGAGATAAAAATGAGATTTTTTGAAACCGCAAGGACTTTTCCTACGATCTAATATATGGAATCTGCATGTCGAATTGCGAAGAGGGAACAGCACATCGGTCGAGAGCAACATGCCCACCGGCGACGACAATCCGACGGTAAAGGGAAATCGATAATAGTAAAATTGTACTAATGCCTTAACGCACGCGTTACCAGCTGCGAATGGCGAGAGGGAGGCGACGCGGGTCCCAAGGACGTCAGCTCGCGAAAGAAGGCAGGCGAAATCAGTCAAGAAAACGAAATCGGACCCACCCGATTTTGACCGTGGATATGCAGTGCCGATGGAGTGCGCGAAGACCCGCGACACCGCGTGGTACGAATTACCATCCGCGTGCTGGCACAGGAAAAACCACAAGCAGAGGCATCGGCGCTCGACTAAACCGGGCGGCTGGCAATGCAGCTCGCCCAAGCCACCGGTGAATCAGTGGGCGTCACGTCACTGGGGGCGGGGCGTCACGCGGGTCCTGCTCAGCAACCACAGCACCTTTCGCCGTGGGAGGACCACACATCGCTTCCTTGGCAGCCAAGTAATTGCTCCGTGTGGCGCAGGTTCTCCCCCGATGCGAAAATTCCTTATCGTAATCGCTTCCTTTAACAAAGTCGGCTCGAATACAGGTGATTACACGCGATTGAAACTAAGTATAGAGATGCGAAGTAGAACGACAGTGGAGAAAAAACTGATCGTCGAGAAAAACCGTCGACAAGGCCGTTAACAAAACCCTCTTTCCCACTAGCAATGAAGGAGGCTGTCTTGGGGAAGAGGCACGTACAAACAAGTTTTCTGAAGATATCAGTCGTTCTATCGGTTGATACGGCAATAAGCCTAGCTGATTTTCACACGTTATGCCACATCACACGCACCCCACATAAATAGGTAGGGCCCGCGCCGCTCGTAGCGGGGTCAGTCAGGCGATAGCCGCCAGAGTAACGCTGCGCCTGGGCCTTATTACTGACGCCTATTGTGCGGTGAGAGAGACCATCTCTACACGGGCGACAGAGGACAGAATGACCCGAAAAGGGTCGGTTGTACGAACTAGATCCGCGAGCGCTTTGTCTTAGAGCGATGAACGGCGATTAACCGGTTCGCCAAATGCTGCGGCAGATTGAGATCCTGCCTGTCGACATGAATCCACATCCTCTCGCTTGACAGATTGAGAAAAAAAGGTAGAGATGGCATGAATTGGAACATAAAGCTGAGAAAAACTGAGCTGGAACGAGCCGCGCCAAAATAGGCCCTGTCAGTATCTTCCTTCTGGCTCTCGTTTAAGCTTCACGAGAGAGACTTCTAACCAATCTCACATGTTTGTACCTGCCGTTATGTACACTACACAACCAATCGTTGGCGCAATTGCAGTGGAGTCCGTATCATGTCCTGTCTGCAATGCAGTGCAGTGAAAGCTAATTCGCCCCTAAACAAAACAGGCAGCTTGCGCAAGTCCCAGTATCGACCGCTGGATGATGACCGCCTCCTCACACTGGCCGGTGATCACCTGGGGGCACATAACCAAGAGCCCTCTCGCCGATCCACCAATGTCGCCCGCAATGAATGATGAAAACAGGAGGGGATGACTGGGCAATCAGTGAAGGGTAAGGCTAAAGCGAAGCGCCAAGGGAAAGGGGCAGCGCAAAAAGTCCGCAGCGCAGCTGAGGGAAAGATCAGTTGCTAATACAAGCAAATCGCTGTTGGGGGTACACAATCTAACACAACCGCAACACGCGATTCTCTCGTGGTCTGATGATCGCGATAACCGGTCCGAATTGTCACATATACAAACCTACTGGACATGGCTCCGACCACATCTCATGGCGTCATCGCCATGAGATGTGGTCGGAGCCATGTCCAGTAGGTGTAGTGTAAGAGGGAGAGGCGTTTGAGCAAGGAATAAGAAAAACCAAGCACTGAGCTAAACACACACACAGCTAAACACCATTTGCTCGTTTCATGCTCGTTCACCATCACACCACGTCCAAACCATTCTTCGTGAGAGTCTGAGCTAAAGGTTCAATTTAGTGATGAGGTTCCAGTCAGTTGTCAGTTGTCAGTTTTTTTTTTCAGTTGTCATGGTTGCGATAATACCCCTACTATGAAACTACCCCATATTGGCCCACATCCGCTCCATGATGGTTGACCTCACAAATGCGGCTAGTGTAAAGCATATGCATACAGGGGTGGCCAAAAAAAGAGACACTTTGCCCATGGCGCACATCATCGAACTTTTCGTCGCACAGGGTGCCGATGTTAATGAAAGTTTTACGGCGGAATATTCCTTAGGTGTTCCCCCGTAACAGAAGCAGGCCCTCCTTCACTGCCCCGCCGTCTTCAGAATATGACGTCATCTGCCGTCACCGTCGAGCTCAACGAGGCTTACCGTAATCGCTCCGGCCTGAAGCTGCTACATAATTTCTTCAATGGATTAACTGAATAGCTTCCAGAGACATTAGCTGTGAC